GCAAAACTTTTATAATTTTTGTGCTTGTGGTTTTGTGCTTGTATCATTTTTAATTTTTTAAATTTATTTTGGTAGTTTTATATAAAACAATCATTTTGTTAGCTACAAAGTTACGGTATGTAGTTATCAAATACTTGTCGTTATGTTGTTGTTAGCAACAAAGTTACGGTATGTAGTTATCAAATACTTATAAAATATATTATAAAGTCGTTTTTGTTTAATTGTGTTTTTGTTATATTAGGATAATAGCTATTGAGGCTGTTTGAACGCAAGTTATAAATTTGTGAAAAAGTAAATCTAGTGAAGAACTTGGATTGATGGATCAATTTGGATTGGAATTATAATAAATTTTTTATTGACTCCAACACATAATGGGTGGTAAAAAAAACTTTTCTTGTAGCATTTAAGAAATCTTTATCGTTGCATTTAAGATATCTATATCTATATCTATCTGTTTATCTATCTATCTGTAAGTTATTTAATGTAAGTTATTAAAAATGTAAAGTACTTAGAAATCCTAAAGACGAGAGATTGAAAAAAACCCCAATAGTTTAACAACACGGCAAATAAAAAATAATGATAAAAAACAATTGCCAAAACCAAGTTTTATAGAAAAAAAATTTTATCAAATAAAAATATGTCAAAATGAAATTTTAATATTAGAATGTAAAGGTTCTGCTTGTGAGATCCAGACTCTGCAAAACCTGATGCTTACCAAAAATATGTTAAAATAAAAAGGAATTACATTTTTTTTTTTTTTTTTTTTTTATATGTTGATTTTAGGTGCCCCAAGAAGACCTTACGGTTTTATCACAGAGCACCGCGGAAGAACATTTGATAGGAAGTTCACGCCTCCTTCCCAACCGATGTCGCAAAACTTGCCCAGAGGTGGGGTTTGAACTAAGCTATTGCGATATTCATAAAAGTCGATATTGTCGATACTACGATATTACATAAACACAGTATAGAACGTCGATATTGAAACTGGATATATTTTTACTGAATTTCGAACTTATCGATATTCAGTTCGATATTTTACGATATTATACGATATTAAACGAGATTCTAGAATTTTAGAATGCTATTTTTGTGTTCAAGACCCATTTTTTCTAATTAGAGGAATTTGAAGGGTCTAATACCGTAAGTTATCTTCAATATTTGAAATATGTTTTTAGCAATTTGGATAAAAAATTATAGCTCAATTAATTGTTTATTTTTTCATAAACAGTTTTTCAAAACAAAAATTAGTCTATCGCGTCAGCTGATGAAACATTTTCTTCCTCGATTAGCCATTTTTTAATAGTAACTTTACTAATGTTGATTTTAACGTACACAAGTTTTTCTATTGTCTCGGCTTTTAGTAAAGTTCTTTTACATGACACAATATTTCCGGCTTGTGAAAAAACACGCTCTGAAGAAGTTGATGACGCTGGGACACACAAGACTTTCTTAGCAGCTCTAGACAAAATTGGAAGTTGAGGTGAATGAATTTTCCACCATTCCAAACAATTGTAATTTTTATCTGAAAATCCAAGCTTCTTGTAAGCTTCTAGTTCTATATCAAATGGAGAATCTTTTGATGATCTGTAAAGCTCAGAGGCATTAGAATCCTGACCCATCATTTCAAAAAGAAGTTGTTCGGCAGGAGACAAATCTTGTTTGGGTGACACTGTTTGTGTTGTATTTTCAATCAAATTTGATGGTTGCTTTCCTATTGAAATTTCTTTTAAATCTCTGAGTGCGACATCGTCTTGGCCAAACCTTGTCAAAAGGAGACCCTTAAATTTGGGATCAAGTAAGTGAGCTAAAGCATTGTTTTTTTGTCTTGAACCACAGTCTGGAAATCGTTTGTTAAGATTTGAAAGGAGTTTAGAAACAAAGTCTCCTATAATTTTGTCATTTGGCAGTATAAGCTTTTAAATATTCTCTTGAATATCAAACAGTCCTGGAACAACTCTCTGAGAAGTTGGGATTTTTTCAGATGAAACAACCTCTGTAAAATCATTAAACAGTTTCATGATCGGCACTACTTTTTCAATAGCATCAAACTCATCAGAAGATGGAATTAAAGCCCTTAAAATGTCGTCCGTTTTAAGGTTGCTGCTTGCAATTATTTTAAGAGCTAATCGTAAATGTAATATTGAATCCATGCACATAAAACCACTATTCCAACGTGTAGGACAAGGAGAAATAATTTTATTAAATTTGATTTTCTCAGGTATGACATCATTACATGCTTCCATAATTCTCTGTTGACTGTTGATTGATTTGTGAGTTCGTGCTGAGAGTGTTTTGCACACCTTGAAATAAAAAATTATTTTGGTTAAAAAAAATATATAAACAAAAAAAAACATAGGATTTGAAAGTTATTCATTTGTTGGTTGCACCTTTATGCAGGTAAATGGTATTGAAAATAGACTATCGCATTTTTCATAGTTTCGTAAACAAGAGGAGAAAATGACTAAACATTTTTTTTACCTGAAAAACTTTTTCAATCTCATCGAATTCTTTGACAGATTTGATAATAACAAGGTGAAGTAAATGTGCAATGCAGGAAATACTTTCATCAATTTTGGCCGATTTTTTCATCCCAGATATCATGTTTGCTGCACTATCTGTGACAGAAGTCATTTTACAACCATTATTGAAAGGTAGAACAGAAATTAATGTGTCTGTTTTAATTGAAATATTGTCACCTGTGTGACTGTCTGGAAAAGCATTACAGCCCAGCAAAAATGTCTTTAGTTCAAAGCCAGTTGTAATATAATGAAGCGTCAAGGCTGCAAATGACTCATTGCTTTTGCTGGACCAAAGATCTGAAGTAAATCCAACTGCATCTACATCTTTTAAGTCATGTGTTAAAACATTAAGAACTGCCTCAAAAACATTAGAATAAAGGATTGGAAGTTTGTTTCTTGAATATGTTGATGGTGCTCTAATAATAATTTCTGGACGAAGGCTTAATAAAAAGTCTTTAAAAGCAGGCGATGAAACATGTTGAAAAGCTAAATTTCCCATGCACAAATATTTCACAATATCCAAGTCAGCTATTAACTGTCGCTTGTCGTTTGTTCCATATTTTGTCACAACCTTGCAATACGATGAAATGTCCATCTTTACTCTTTTTGCACTTAGAGCTATTGGCCCATGAGTGTCCAAAATTGATTCTTGTGCAAGCTGCTCAGCTGTTGTTTCTGGTGCTCGTTTTAAATTTTCTTTCCCAATGTTGAGAAAAATTTCATTATGACAACCTCTGATGTGAACCTTCAAACCAGTCGTAATGCTCTGTTTGGTGCCTATTTGTGTTGGGCATAGCTTACACTGAGCAATATCTTTTTTTGGTGTGTCTCTTAAAAAATACGCCCAAAAGGGACTTACTCTTGGCATTTTCAACAAAAAATATCACAACTTTTCTCACTTATAACTTCTATTAGTAACTAATTTTGAAAAAAATATTTATAAGGTTATATCAAAAGTATTTGAGTATTGAACAAAAATTAAGACATCAATTTTTGGTAAAGCTACAGTTAAGCGGCCTAAAATAAATTTACTGTTTCGCTTTTTGCGCTCTCGTTCGTAGAGACTTTAAAATATTAACAAAATATAAAAGCAAAGAAGATTTATTTTATTCTAATAAGAGCAAAGTAAATTTATTGTTTAGAAATAAGTTGTTCGCGGAATTTAATGTTTTATGCTTTATTTTATATATTGTTTTCTTATTACTTTTTATATATTATTTGCTATTATTTTTTTTTTATTTTATTACTATTATATTATATTTTATTTATAAAAATATATTTATTATTATAATATCAAAACTTTGATTATAATTTACCTTGATTATAATTTAATTTGATTATAATTTGATTATAATTATTATATTTAATAATTAAACTTTGATTATAATTTACTTATAATTTACTTTGATTATAATTTATATTTACTTTGATTATAATTATTATTTGTTTACTTTCAACTTTAATATAAAACTTCAACTTTTAATTAAATCTTTTAATTTCAAATTCACAACCCGTAACATTTATTATTACATAACATAATTAAGTTTCGCGCTCCATCGTGTTTTTAAAAAGCGAAAAATATAATTATTTTAGGCCGCTTAACTGTAGCTTTACCCAATTTTTAATTTACACTTAATTTTTAGCATTTTTAATTACTTTTTAGTTTGGCGGGAAAGTTTAGGAGGGACAGTTTAGAGTATAACAGTTGATTTTTATTAAAGTTTGAATATTAGTATCGATATTTTAGTTTGAATATCGAGAATCTTTCGATATTGCTGTGAAAGGATATCGAATAATATCGAAACTTCGATATTATTAAAAAAATTACAATATCGACAATTCAATATCGAACCTGGTCAAAATGTCGATATTTTAGCATGTTTCGATACTACGATACTGATATCGCAATACTTTCGTTTGAACCACGGATCTTACGTTTCTGAGGCAAGTGCGCTACCACTGCGCCACGGCTGCTGTTTACAGGCTACATTTACAATTACAAATTGTAAACCATTTGAAGATTTTATTTGAAAAACTAATTTAATTTTTTTTTCTTGCAAATTCAAATTAAAAATTTTTTTAAATATAAAATAACCATCGAATATTCAATATCCAAAAAATTCTCGTTTTTTACTTACCTATACTGAGAGTTTTTGAAGATATTCAATCACTGATGCGTATTTTTTTCTGAGAAAAACTTAAAAGAAATAAAAAAAGAAAACTTAAAAGGAATAAGAAAAAAAGTTATTAATTTAAAATTTAGTTGATTCTTGCTCTTTTTTGTCCGCTTTTTTCCCTTTTGAAGTATTTTTTCGAAGTTTTGTAAATTTGCAACACAAAATACTTATCTAAATAAGCATGAGTTCATATGAAATTTTTTATTTAAACAATTATAAAATGGTATTACAAACAATCAGTTAGTTCAACTTAGGGATGCTTAGATAATGGTTGTCAAAAATAGGTTTTTATAAGTGTCCTTACCTGACTTTAAGGCTTTATTCAAGTTTTGCTTTGTTTCATACAAAATGAATCCAAGAATAATGATTGTTATTAGAAGTACCGCAAAAATTGCGCCAAATATGATTTTATCCTTGGTTGTAATTCTTTTTTTAGCTATATCATCATCATCAATGTGCAGCTTCGTTCGCGAATCTGTGAATGTTACACTCATAACTCGAATATTGTTTATGCAGGTGCTAAAAAATATTGTCTACACAGGTGCTGAAAAAAAAATTTACACAATAATAATGTCATATAATTAACAAAAGTGTATAAAATAATGCTTAATATAATCATAGGAATTGAGTATCAGAAGTAGCGTTCCCTACCCCAAGGGGTTCAAACCCCTACGAAACAGAGGTAGTGTTAGAGAATCAAATCAATTGGAAACAAAAACAATGTTAAAGAATCGAACCCCTAAAAAACCAAAAGTAGTGTTAGGTAATCAATTCCCTAAAAAAAAAATTAGTTTTAAAGGATCAAACCCATCGAAAACAAAATTAATGTTAGAGAATTAAACTCCGAAAAAACAAAAGTATTGTGAGGGAAAATATTTTACAAAAGACATAAATTTCTAAATTTATGCTTTTTTACAGAAATAAAATTTCCTTTTACTTTTAAATGCTTGTTTCAAAAAGTTCAACAGTGTTACGAGAGTGGCTAAACTGAATTGTCATTATAAATTGTCTTCAAATAGAGTGCAAATATTTTCTGAATGTATTCTTAAAAGAAGCCGCACTGAGACATTATTGACATTTTCTCTATCAATGCAGATTTTATATTTGAATTTTCTTGAATTAAATTGTGTTGTTATATTATGTTAGAAATTATTAATTACTCTATACTTTAATTTTTTTTTGACATAAATATTTTATAATTTTTGTTCATAATATAATTTATTAAAATATAATTTGTAATAATATAATTTTTTTTTAAATATAATTGAATATAATAATAATATTAATATAACACAATTTTTATATAACTTTCATAATGATTAATAATATTTAACAACTTGGTTAAAATGCGTATGAAAATAATATTATAAATAGATAACATTATTTGAAGAAAAAAATTACAAGTCATTTAACTTTACACAAGTAAAGATTTGTAGAAGTAATGTTACAATTTAAGGCGCCACGGCGAAGTTTTAATTTGTTTTTTTTTTACTACGAGCAAAGTTTTCGTTTTTTATTAAAAAAAAAAGATGTAAACTTTGCTCAAGCAAATATTGTTTATCATATGAAATCAAAAAAAAAAATTATAGTAACTAAAATAATCTTTTTTTACAAAGTACATATATGTAAAAATATAGAAAACACTACGAACAACAATAAATTACGTTACTGAAACAACTAACTTAATGCTGCGATAGAAAAGCAATGCATACAGAACATAAAAACTACTGCAAAAACTCAAATAACATTACTGCCACATAAGAAATTAAAAGCCAAATTGCAAAATTGCAAATTTTGAAACTCTTAACAAACGCAATGTAAATATATATAAAGCAAATATTTATTTACAAAAATATCCTAAAAATTCACGTGACACATCATTTGATATCTATTAACGAATAATCTTTATAACCAAATGAAAACTTATGACAAAAAAAAAAAAAAATTATAGAAAGAAAACTTTTCTGCTTCATCGAACTTCATCGAACGTATCATTGCGAAAGTTAAGCATTGAAGTAAAAAAACTCATTCATTTTTTTCCAAAAATATTTTCCTAATTTCATTGCAACCTGCTTAGTGCTGCAGTTTGTAAAGTTTAAACGATAATAATAATCCTCAAAAGTATTAGTTTGTAATGAACACCACCCTGTTGATTGTGAACACGTGTGCCTAAATAAGTTGTTGATACAGTGAAAATTTTTGTTTAAATAAGATTTTTCTTTGTCTATAAATCATCTTTTGAAGAAAGTTTCTGAATGGTTTTTAGTAAATATAATAGTATTAAACGTGAGTAAATGTCAGAAGTTGGGTTCCAATTTGTAAATATTTGAAATGTAAATTTTAAAACAAAACTATTGTTTTTGGTTTTTTTTATTGTTGGTTTGAATTTTTTATTTTTTGTATTTTCTTATTAAAATTTATAATAAAGTCATTTAAATGAACAAAAGCAATGAAAATATTTGTTTAATTAAAATTTAAGTAAAAATTAAATGAAAAAGAATTTAATGAATCTTATTTAATTATTATTTATAATATTAGAATAAATTCATTTTTAAAAATTAGTTGAGTTTTTTTGTCGAACCAAATATGGTTTTTGTATAAATTAGAATCGGCTTATTCAGAATGACGAAAGAATTCGGTAGAAACGATAATTCGGTAAGACACGGTACACACTAAAATAAAAAAGGTAGTAATTTTTACCTTAGGGTAGTATATGTGGTATACCTTTAGTAAGGTATATTTTTCTACCTTTTAAGGTAGAAAATTATATTTAAAACATTGTTTTGTCATACAATTTTCTACCTTAAAGGCAGAAATTTTATATCTTAAAAGGTAAAAAGTTATATTACATATCCTACCCTAAGGTAGAAATTTCTACCTTTTTTTTTAAGTATGTGGTGGTCGTGGCTCAGTGGTTAGAGAGTTTGCTTTAGAAGAAGGAGAACCAGGGTTCAAAGCGAGCTCTGTTGCATATTTAGCGCCATCGGTAAGGAAGCAGGCGCCAACTTCCAAGTTTAATGTTCTTCCGTATTGCTCTGTGACAAGACCGTTAGGTCTTCTTGGAACATCTGATACAAAAAATTAAAAAAAAATTAAAAAATTAAAATTAAAATGGTTTAGTCTATCAAATATTATGCACTCTAAAAAAAATCTTTTAAAAGAAATACATCGCCACCTGGTGAGGTTAGAAATTTGTTTGAATTTTGAATCTCCACTTTTTGAAAAATTTGAATCATTAAATGTGTCATGTACCTTAAAATAACGTTTTTGAAATCTAAGTTATTATCGAAAAAGTTGCAAAGAAAACTTAGTGATAAAAATATTTTTATACGCGGTCTCTTCAAGTTTTTATTTTTTAAATCGTAATCGTTAAATCTCAAAACTCAAAAATGTGGAAATTGACTTCTGTTCTGACTTCTCCTTTATCACTTCAACAAGGTCTAATTTTTTTTAGTAGCAGTCTTTATTGATTTTTGAGAAAGATAACTTTCAGACATGGGGCAAAACTTTAAACTTGGGTATGTTTATGCAAAAAAGGTTGGAGTAATTGGAACGTGGGAACAACAAAAAACACTACAGCTAAACTTGTTCTCCTAACCCCAAATGTGATTTTGTATTTGTTAATAAACAGTTTTATCTAATGATATTTTAGTGCTCAAAACTTATGAACATTCAAAGTAATACGTACAATGCATTGTGCTTACATCATTTCACAATGGTTTGTGCATTACAATTCCTAAAAAAGAGGTTACATTCTTCAAAATTAAACTTAGGTGCTAAAAACACTCCAAATACACTTTTATAATGAATTTCTCCGTTTTTAATTCAGTCATTCAAAAAAATGTAAAAGATTTCTTTGCAAAAACAATTTTTAAGACCACATTAAAAAATTGCAAGTTATCTGTTGCAAGTTATCAAGCAAGTTATCTGCTGCAAGTTATCTTGGCATTTTTTTATTTTATGCATAAATCTTATGTCTAAAACAAATGTTTAACGAGTGCAAAGATAAATTTTAAATAATAAGTTTAAAAAAAAATCTTTTTTAATTAAAAATACTTTAATTCCATAGCTATGTTTAATATTTTTTCCTAACATTTTATTTTGAGGGTGAATTTAAGTTTATTTAGAATTTCAGGTAGGGGAGAGCAGGTAGGATTCGTACACTTTTTACTCCAAGTCATTTTAAACCAAAACCAATAGCAATTTTAAAAGACTTTCAACGCTGGTGAATTATCTAGATATCTGGCTTCAATAATTTTTTAGGTCGGTATTGGTACAAAGTAAAATGGTAAAGCAATAACAATTCTCCCAGAAAATGGAGATTGTACGAAAGCACCCCACGCGCGGGGTAGCTTCGTACATAGAGTAGGGTACATTCGTACATAACTATTTATTGGAAAACAAACACTTATAACGATTAAAATTGAAACAGAATAAACTTTTAACTTATTAATAATCAACAATATATTATTTTACAAATATATTTTTACATAACGGATCAACTATTGCACATTTTGCATTGTAAAATTTTTCTAGTCTCTTTTTTTATGTATATTCGCGGCATTATCCTAAAATAATAATAATGTTATGAAAAATATTCACTTAGGGAGGTTTCGTATAGTACGAATCCTCCCCACGAATAACTGTACGAATGTACCCCAAACACAAAAATAAACATATAAACTCAAAATAAAAATAACGGTTAAGGTTAGCACAAAAGTTGATGTTTACATATTAATGTAAGGCACTTATTTAACAGCATAATAAATCATATTAACAACTTTAGCAATAATTATTACAAATATATGTTTTCAAAGATAGTAAGTAAAATTACTTTTGTTGTGCGAAAACGCTTATTGACTTGCCCCGACGAAGGTTACTGATGCACTGCTACGGCGCATAGCTTTTTTTATTTAAACATAAGCAGTTCTTACGCACACAATGATACAAACTTGTCAACACCTAAAATTTGGTAGATATGACCACTGTACGAATGCTCCTGGTGTACGAATCCTACCTGCTCTCCCCTATATAGTAACTTCTAGGTGTATAATTGATTCCAAACTTTTGAATTCAAAATTGTATGGTTTCGCCCATTAGTTTGAATAAAAGTTATGATTAACTTTAGAACTTTAGAAAGCCAGAAAAATATTTTGTACGACAACAATGATTGTTTATGACAGTATTGATCAATCAATGAATGACACGAAAATATTGTGTTAGAGTAAACAAATCTGCCACCTAAATGTCAAAAACAAAACAACTCGCTTTAAAAAAAAAACTGATATAATATTTCTAGTGAGCCAACCCCGGTAAAACTACAGTTTTTATCAATTATGATATAACGGTTGTGAAATGATTCTTTTTGTAAAATATCACGCTGATCACGGTGACTAGAAAGACTATGATTTATTTAAATATTTTTGATCAGAAACATGTTAATGTTTAAAAAATTAAGATGTCTATATACTCATAATAAATTATATTAAAACCAAATGATTTTAAAAATTTATCATAATTTAGTCATTTTTTATCTCTATGTATAAAAATTTATTTTAATAAATTAAATTCCAAAGTAAAAGTTAAAGCTTTTCAGTTATAACATCAACAAACTTATGAAATTATTATATTTAAGTTATTATATATAGCCTGCGGTGTTTATAACTTAACTACAAACGTGCAGACTATATGTAAACACTTTTATTTATTTTTAGATCGATGTTAGTCATGTGCAGCGTTGGCGCGAACGCTTATTTGTACCGTCAAGTAGCTGTTTAAAAAAAGAATATAAACACAGATATAAATAAATTAAAAATATTATCCGTTACTGTAATAAAATTAAAAAACCAATTAAAAAAAAATATAAGGAAAAAATGAATGTTTGGCACTTGGCTTACTGTATTATTAGACTTAACAAGAAAAAAACAAAGTTACGTCGTAAATATGGTTTTCGTGGATAATATTTTATCATTTAAGGACACTTTACTATCGATAAATAATAATCAATATTTTTCAAAAAGAAATACATATGTTTAACAGATATTAATGAAAAATAATTAAAAAATCATGAAAGAGTTAAATAGCTAATACTTTCAATGATGTCACTCGATGATGATGACTCTTTGCTGCAATTACGCTTTGTATGCGCCGTGGCATACTCAAATTACACTTTTTAACCGTTACTTACAGCTTATCACTGTGGTCCCACTTTCTGGGCCAATAAAAGACATCAATGTTTTTTTCTTTCAAAAAGTTTGTAATGTTTTTAGCCTTGTGATATGGTGCTCCATCATGCATAAAAATGCACTTTTTTTCATTTGGCAACCATTTCTTTTTTGGTACTAATCTTACTTGATTTTGGTATTAGTCTATCATTAAGAATTTACCAATACTAAACTTGTCTCATTGTCCATTTTACTATATGTTGGAAAACTAATTACCAACCACACTATGACAGATGTAGAATGCTTTATGGTTGGCACAATGCAATCTGAGAGAAATTTTTTACCCACTCTTCTCCTAACAATGCTAGCTTTGTCACTCATGACTGAAAAAATGTTCTTATCTGAAAAATAAACCTAAATGACACACAAATAAGGTTTAAAAAGATACTAAAATCAAGTTCAACTTTACAATTAAAAATTTTACTAAGAATTATTTTTTTCCAGCCATCCTCTGTGAAGTTTTTTCACAATAAAATAAGA